GTCCGACCTGCTGGACTTGGAAGAAGCAAGTTTCCTGATCCGGCGGGCCTCGTGGAGTGGAGGGCATGCCACCAACATCAACACAGTGACGTTCAACGCTCATTGGCCCATTCTGCTTCTGGCGCTTGCCGCAGGACAAGTTGGTCAGGAATTTCATGCATGGCATGACGGCCGGCTGGAGAAAGCCAGCACGGAGCAACTTTTGCTGGCCATAATTGGGATCTCATACTGCTCCTGGAACCCCAGAGCATGTGTACTGGGACTAACATCATCCCAGCAGAGAAGGCCATGGCCTCACCGCCATCTACGAAATCCTGGAACTGTTTCAATAAATCTGAACAGCGTAAAAGCCTGTGTTGAGGTCTATGGAGGAAAGAACACAGTCGTCCTCCGGATTTTCCTCAACCCAATGGTTGGTCAACCTGTAAGCAACCTTTTGCGTCAGCTTTCGCGACTGCGCATCCTTATGAAGTCGAAAACACCCAGCGACTGGGAGCGTCAATCTACTGCATACCCGATCGAAGCTCAGGGCGCAAGCCATAGCGAATCTGATCATCAACCGCAGAGAACGCCCGAAGAGCGAATCATGTTTGGATTCCTCCTAAACCATTCTGGGCTCACTAAACAACAACTCCGAATCCTGGGAGACGCAGGCCAGTGGCAACTGGCCTATGAACTAGGTTTTCAGTATCCAGAAAAGCCAGACGACGACTCCTCGACAAAGCCAGACGACGACTCCTCGACTTTGTCATCGACGTTTTCATCTTGCTGAACATGGATAAAACCCTGCGGTGTTTGCCATCTACTTCCGCGTCGGTTGTGTCCACGAGCGTGCGAGAGAAAAATTGTCCAAAGTGGAGCCATGCCCGAGCACCTGTACTGTGTGCTGTAAAAAGCGGGAAGTGGCGACAAAAATAGCTGACTGCCCTATAGCGCGCGGTTCCATGTCAATATTGTAATATAGGTCAATTTATCATTTTGAGGATTTTTCTTTTCACAGGTTCAGGACTCAAAGTGCGTGGTGGAGGGAATTCCCGAGAGAGAGAGAGAAAACATCATTGGAGAAGCGAGGGCTTGACTTGTGACTTCGCCATTGATACAAATACAATTAAAAGCTAAACATAATGATTAAATTTAGACATAATGCCTTTGTTTGCAAAATGCTTCTGTATCCGACATGGCTTGCATATGGCTTCCACATTAGCTTCTGCACATAGATGAAAGACATAAGATAAAAGACCCCCCCCTGTTAAAAACACACAGGTGCTATAACATAACCCATAATAAGTTAAGCATAGCATAAAAACCTAAGCATCCTGTAAAAACTTAGACATAACCATAAAAACTTTGACGTCTTGCAAAAACTTAGACAAAACTAAAAGGTTAGAGCAGTTGCCGCCCAAGTTGGAGGACCCCTCAACCATCTCGTGGGGAACTCTAAGCACGCTGTGGAGCCTAGCAAACTCCGCGTGTGTCTTGGAGGAGAACTTAGGGACCTGAGCAGACTCTAACCACTCCCCGTCATCGTGGAAATATTGACGTACCCCCGTGTTAAGCGCTGGTGGAGTCGTACACTGACGACTCATCTCGGTTGGGTTCGAAGAGAGATCTCACCCCTGTGTATTTGTGTGCAACTGTAATTCAAGCAAGTCTTCCTTCCTGCACTGCGACCATCGGCAGTGTAAGTAAAGCTTTCTTTATACAACCAATACGCTTCCGTGCCTAACTTTATTCCATCGTGGAAAATACCCACCTGATGGTCCAGGCTACAGGCCATAGCCTTAGACCGCCCTCAGCTCCGACAGCTTTGAGTTTAATGCACTGCTTTCCCAGAGCACACTGTGAAAAGCCTGAAGGATCCCATTCCCCCACCAGCTGGGGGATGAAGAGATTCAGCATGAGAACAGTGAACCTCAGAGTCAGTTTCAGGTTTTCTCTTTTTCAAACTTTGCCCACAGTAAGTTTATACCATTTCCTTTTACAGGTACATGCTTCCCTGTTTTATATCAGTAAAGCTTAGAAGCAGCAAACAGACAGACTCTGAAAAAGGAGAGAGGCAGGGTAAATAAATAAATAAATAAATAAATAAAAAAAAAACGGCTCTTACTTGTTTGTGCTGCCACTGAAGCTTCCCACTCGGGCTGAAAACACTTTACTTATCATCAGCTGTGGAGGAGAGCTGAAAGGATAAACAATCCCCATCATCTCAGTGACTCGCCAATTCCAATACTTCCTCTTTCCTTCATTTCCAAATACCTGGTAATACTCATAAAGGAGGGCACTTACCGTATGTAGTGGATTTTCAAGGTAGAACCCTTGTAACTCATTGCCACTGAACCAAACATCATTTCTCCCAACATGTTGACATCAGAAGCTGGTCTCGTATACTGCAAGCGAGGGGTGGAAAAAAAACAAAACAACCATTCATAACCAGTTGTCTATACTAATCTGATTTGCCACAGAACTTACTTCTGAATGTGGAATAAAGGTAATCTCCGATTCTTGGTGCAGTGGCACACACCAAGTGTCACTGGTTAAGCATGCAAGTATGGCTTCAGCACACACTTCATTTCAGTTGATTAGAAAGGCCCTCTAGTTCCCATTTCCATGGGAACACAAGGAAGTAGGCAAAGATTATACCCCCCCCAATCTTTCCAACTGGCCCAAAATACCTAGTACTGTATACCCCAGTATTAATATTCACATATCATTGGAGGTTAAAAACATTTTTAAAGTAAGTTTTAAATGGTTCTTTTAAAAACACTAACTCAGGTGGTAAAATATGCTAAGACAATTTAAAAAAAACAAACCTGCCCTACCAAGAGAATCAACTTCCTACACACTGGGTGCCTCTACACATGCAATTAAGGTGGAGCAATAAACCCAGGTGCAGTTTGTGCTGGAGTCAACTGCTCCCAGGCACAGCATCTACATGTGTACATGGGGCAACAAAACTTTGAGCCAGGGCACAGCAGCCCCAGGCTGGCAGCAGACCTGGGGGAGGGTCAGCCCCAAGCTCTGGGTGGCAGCATCAGGGCTGGCTGGGGCACAAGGGTGCCAAAGTGTGGGGTTAGGTGGCAGGCAGCCCCCTCCGCACCTCTGCACTTTAGCACCTTTGTGCCCCAGCCAGCCCCTATCACCATCTACATGTTCATTTCAATGCACGCAAATACTCCACCATAAGATAGTACTGTTCCTGAAAGTATTATCTTATGGCAGAGTTAATTAAATTTACTATGCCCTAATACCAGCACACATGCAGATGGTGATGCTTTACTGAGGAGCTAATTAGTCTGTTCCACAGTAAAGTGCATGTATAGATGCATCCAGTACAAACACAACATTTTCAACACTCATAAGACAGTAACATACTTTGCAATGGAAAGTCAAAACAAAACTAAACTGCATAAAGTCTTGATTTGCTGGGTTTAAGGACATTCACGTATGCAATTTTAGAGCCACACAGGAGGTGCACAAACAAGTTTTTTACTCTTAGGTCATGTCCAGGTGAGAGTGGCTGTGTGGTATGTGGTGCTGCAGACCTGTCTGTGGCATCACACATCACAACTTCAAGTATTCCCCATGCTCTTACCTTGCAGCAAGGGGGGGGAAGGGGAGGAGGGGGTGTTGACCCCAGGAGATCGCAGTGTCAAAAAAAACCCACACAGAGAAGAAAAAAAAAGTGGGGCAGCACGTCTGTAGCAGCTAAAATTACCAGAACTGCAAGATTATAGAATTGGTCCTCATCAATACACACACACACACACACACACTTTGAATTAAAGGCATTTAAAAAAAATGTTCAGGCCTTGTACTTTTATAGACTTTCATCATTTTTTCTGCATATTCCACCATAAGTGGTGCTAGATCAAAGCCTAAATGGGACTTGCTGAGGGTCTAAATCTTTGCAGGAACCATCCTTCATTTTTTTCAGGTTTCAGAGATCATAGGACAGAAATATTTAAATGTAGAAATTGGCAATCACATTTTAACAATAAACCATCTGTTAAAAATGGACTTGATTCATACTGCCATGGTTTCTTTTACAATCTTTAACAGAACCAGCTGAGTGCAACAGCTCCTGCAGAAGTTATGAAAGACTTGATTCACATTATGAAGGCCACAAACTTAAATATGGACAAATGTGTTCTAATTTTTTAGAACATACAGTGCCATAAGCTACTTACAATTTTTTAAAACCAAATAAGAGTTTACATTACAAATATATGACATGAGATGCATTTAAAAAGGTTTAGAAAGAACTGTAAAAAGTTTAGAGTAAACATTAGAAAGTCAGAAAATCCTAGACTAAACATCGCATACAGATACACTCACCCCATCATCCTTAAAAGAAAAAAGGCATTTTCAGGTATTAAGTTCTTTTTAATAAATACACAACAAACTCTAGATAAAATGTAGAGATAATGCATTTATTATGCACTAATTTTTAGCTCATTAATGCTATATATACAATTTTCAGATGTGTTAACATTTACCTGGTACTTTGGAAGCTGTTCCTTGAAATGTTGAGGCATACAGCTCACTGAGGGACTATAGGAAGAAATAGTGTTGGTGCCATTGTTTGCCTGGTAACTCTTGGCAGAATCCTTTACAGGAGCATCCTCCGATATTCTCTGTGTCAGAACAGGTTAATAATGAAGATAGGAAACTTCATGTTAAAATTTTTCTCAACACCTGAAGGGTTTTTGTTAAAAATGAATTAAATAAATAACACACTGATACAAAAATTATATTTTGAAAAAAGTATTTTATTGATTTAAGTAAGTCACCTTAGTCATCTTTTTCTTCTTTAAAAAAAAGATTTAAAGACATTCAAGGAGAGAGGAGAGAAAGCACAAGATTATTTTTGCATTTAAATTTTTCTATTGTAGAAATACATGCAATATACCAAGTGGCATTCTGTTCTTTCAGCTCATTGTCTTCTTGGTCAAAGTAATTTGTCAGAGACAATTATCTATAGCAAAGTTGTCTTTTTTCTGTTTGCAGATTACTCCCCATTTCCATGGATGTATGTTATCTGTAACATTTGCCAAAGTTTGTGCAAACAAATCTCAGCTGATGGGCTGCTTGCAGGTTGTTCTCTTTAACCATTTGTGATACATAGTGTGTAATTATTTACTTAACTTGCATGGCATTGCTTCTGGTCCCAAACTAAACAGCGTATTTCCTGAATAGAAGAACAGCCAGCAATAACAAATTGTGAACAGTGCATTATTTATTAGAACTATGATATAGAAACAATTTGTAGAGACTGCATAGACGTTTTTAGACATCCACTGCTTTTTCATTAACACTTGGCCACAGATTATTCATAAATATTAAAGAAGGTCAACACACCAGATTTACATTAAAATTACCCTGCATTTGACCAGCTCTAGAAGTTCTTACTGCAGAAAAAACCTTTTTTTTGCTTATATCCTTGCAGCAATTAAAATGGTTGGATAACTTGTACCATAGTTTCCCTGAGGAAGGTAGCTAGCTAGCTAAATAAAGTTATCATGTATGTGGCCAGTTTATTTTTTTTTAATGGATAAAAAAATACCCATCCAAGGGATAGTTTACTAAGAATGAACATTGCTGAAGTGTTTTTGAAATAACTTTTTTGTTGTTCTCCTAATGTAAACTAACGGCGATAACGGCAATCAGGAATCTGGGTCTTATGGTGCTGGGCTCCCTGCACAGACTCTAGAGAAGCCATCCCACTTCAAAACAGCTCACAGAATTTGTTCCCTCCTACATTAAATATTATCCCTGTATACATGGAGCTAACTGCTCTTTCATATTTTGCCACATTCACACTCCTTTTGTACAGCTTTTGTTGGGTGCTGCATTTATTTAACTCCTGCTTATCTAATCCCAATGTTACTGTCATTAGGGTTATAAATGCACAAATGCTAGTAGTCATGTGCTTGACACAAGGTATTGACAAAAATGCCTTAATAAAGTGTACTGCTCTACACTACCCACAGGAACAGCTAGAGCAGAATGTATTAAGCATGTTACAGCATGATTAGCTACCCATTTGATACTTCTGTTAAATAAAAAGATAATCTGCAGTTTCTCAAATACATTTAAGGTAAGAATAGGATATTGGAAGCAAGATGCTCCCCAACCAATAAAAAAATGGATACCATACATGCTCATCCTGCTCCACATCAAAGTCAGAAGTAATTTTACCATAGATTAACGCAGCTGCTGGTTTGGACACTAGGGGCATTTCCCCAGGGACAACTAGCAGCAGCACATATTTGTGCTACTGCTAATTGTCCCTGGGCACGCTTCTGCACGTGACCTTTGGCACATAGCAAATTGCTCTGGATTGGGTAGGGGAAGCTGGAGGCCAGCATCTGGGCTGGCCCCAGCAGCCTTACCAGGGGTCCTGGGGGCCTCCCGAGACAGCAGGAGTGACATTCCAGGGGCACGGAGCCTGCCTGGCAGCTGAAGCGTGGCTCTGGTGGTGTACTCTGCAGCCACATGCGCTACCCTGCTTTTTTCTGCTGTGTTTTTTTTGTTTTTTTAGATACTGGGATTTCTCGGCATCTAATTTTGTTGCCACACTGCAAATACGCAGCATGGCAAATGGATTCATGAGTACTGTGCATCTTTCATGGCACTTCAAAAGGCTCTGAGGCACCGCAAACTGCACGTTCCCCCTCATGGGGACGCAGCCTAGGTGAGCAGTCTCGTAGGTGTAGTATTAACTACAGTACTTCATGTGTTATTCACATTTTCTAAAGCATTTAACCTTATTGTAAGAAGAGGGGCTATTTATGTCCAGTATGCAATGAAGTGATCTCTTATTATGTAATGAAGTATTTACATAACAAGAGTTTCCCTTTAAAACAGGGGAATACTTTGAAGGGAGATTTAACCTTTTTGTTTAATTCATAAAGGCATTGATATACAGAAGAAAATAAACAGTTGTTTTCTAAAGCAAATTCAACACTGAGCATCAGCCTCTAGATACCTAGGGATGACCTTGGTTCTGGGCTTATGACAGAAAAAACGGATTAATACAGCCATTCTGACCTATTTAACCTCATAAGCAGATGGTCTACCATGCTCATCATGCAACCCTTGCTGCTTTGGTTAAGCCAGCTCAATGTGCTGCTCAATTTAAATACAGTTTCAGATGGCTGTATTTAAGCAGTTTCATGAGGGCCATTTCCAGAAATCATTGCTATTTATACGAATATTATAGCGAGTATTTCCACAATAAACTGTACTAATCCCCAAAGTACTACCATTTTTCATAAAACTGCTGTGTAACAAGAACAATTATAACTGGAACAATTATAGCCAGACAGAAAAGAAGAAATATCTAGCTAATAAGGAAGAACTACTTTTGATACCATCCGGACTGGATAAAAAAACTGTCATTTCCCAAGAAATGTTTGTCGAGATTCTGGCAGAGAGAATATCACACCTTTATTGTGCAATTCCTTCCTTAAGGAGTGTTTAATATAATGACATTGCAAAATTAAATAATGGCCCAATATCATTTCTCAGTCATAAGAGGTTTTTTTAGTAGAAAAAATTAATGATTTATCTACAGAGACCTAAAAGGTAGACCAGTGTATTTGGAGGCAAATGACCTCCAACTAAAATAAGGACGTGTAGCTGAGAAATTACCTAAGAAGAAAAAAAACACATTTAAAGTATGCTGGGTAAATTGCCAAGTTTAGACAGGAATCACTTCAAAAGTGCTTGTGAGCAAAGTAGAGCTGATATCATTTTATCTCAGTGATAGATTTTAAGGGAAAAGTGAGAGCATGAGTGTGAGAGAGCATGAGGGCACTCACTTGTGAGAGAGAGTAACACACACGTCAAGCTGGTATGGGTTATCTTAATGGGTTTTTTTTTTGGGTGTAGCTGTAAGCTGACCCATTTTACAGGGTTTTTTAAAAAAAGAATCCTCAAAATGTTATAGACACATTGGCTGCTTGCAAAAGCTAAAACGCCACCACCATCATCCTAGAGCTTTACTTTAAACTCAGCATGATCCTGTGCCGAGCCCTGTGCGTGACCAGAATAGGCTACAACTTGCCCAACGTCTGTATTGGATCCAGTTCACCCAACATCTTAGGCACTTCAGTGGGGCCTTTTTGGCACCTTTAATCTAATAGCTGATTGACTCAGCTTTAGACAAGTGCACCAAAAAGGCCCACTGAAACATCTGATCTATACACACGCTCTGGAGCTAGGTTGTAATAATGCGCTGCTTTTTCCAGTAAAGTGTGTGTGGGGTTTTTTTTTTTTTTTTTTTTTTTCAAACAGCTGCAAGCATTCTTAATGTCTAGATATTATTTTTAAATTGACATTTTAAAGAGGATTTCCACATTGCGCCACAAAACAAGGAGAATCACAGGACAGAAGCAAAAATGAGTGTGTCATACCTGAGCTGCCACTTCAGCAACTTTGCGGACTGCTTTGGAATCAAATAAGACCTGCCTGCCTCTTCTCTCACAATCCTGGTAAACTATCAGGCGGATTTCATTCAAGTCAAAATCTGAACAGGACCAGCTGTGGATTGCAAATAAAAGTAGGGGTTATAGTACTTTACCAGTGAATGAAGCAACATAAACAAGTGAAGGCAGTGGGTAGTCATCAATTGCATCTTTTAGCCAATGTCTGTAGGAACCAACACAAAAAACAGAGAAGTATGGGGCTGGCAGGGATCTCAGAAGTCATCTAGGGTTACATCATCACTATAAGTCATAACAATAGTGATTCTGAGCTAGAATCAAAATATACCTAGGCCAGATGTTTGGAAGTTTTAAGAACTAATTAGGACAATGAAGGCAATTCCACAATCTCTCTGGGAAAATTGTTTTAGTACTTAACTATAAAAGAAAAAACTTTATTTTAATATTGGTCTTAAATCTTCTTTATTGTAAAATTTTCTTGTCTCACTCGCATGGACCTGGAGGACCAGTGATCATCTTTTTTACATCTTTCTACATACTGGAAAACTTCTGTCTTCTTTCCTCAGTCTTTTTTCTAACCAAATCTAGTTGTTCAGCCTTGTACAGGTTGTGTTTTCCCAAGACTCTTAATTCTTATGGCTTGCTCCTGGATTATCCCTCCTTTGCCTATCTCTTATTTAAATGGTACCCAGCTGGATGCAACATTCTCAGTGAAGACCAATTACCTTGGGTACTGGCAGGAGGGTCATAAATAAAGATCTCTCTCAAAATAAGAGTTATCTTTTATGCAACACCATCACAGCATTGACTTAGTCAGCAGGTGGTTGACTTTAATACTCGAAACCTCTTCTGCCACTTTTTCCGCACAGTTATTCCCCCATTTTGTATTTGTACATATGATTTCTCCTTCTTAAGGATAGCACTTTGTTTATCTTCACTGAATTTCATCTCTCCCATTTGTCAAGATCATTCTGAATTGGGAATCGGTCCTCCAAAGTGCTTACAACTCCTACCCTGCTTGGTGTCAGCCACAAAGTTTAAGCATGCCACTATCTAAACCATTAAATAAAACCAGATGCATGAGACTCCTGTTGCAGCTGGTTTAGACAGTGAACCATTGATAACCACACGTTGAATACAATATTTCAAACAGCTGTGCACCCATCTTACTGTAATTTCATCCAAAGCCTACTGCCCTAGTTTGTTTATAAGAGTATTATACAGGACTGTGTCAAAGGACAGGATGCATCACCTCTACCATTTCTCTTTTATCCAGTAGGCCAGATTTTGTAAGGAACAAGTCATGTCCAACCGATACCACTGCTTATTACCTTACAGTTTATTCTACTATCAAAATTAAGCTAACTAGTTTATAATTCATGGATCCTCTTCCCCTGCCCATTTTATATAGAGATACTGATAAAAGTAATAAAATTAAGCAATATCCAAAAAGGACTAACTGGAAGTATTAAGAGCAGACTATGCTTTGATAAAGTAACACCAAAAATTTGCACACCACATAATTACAACAGAGAAAATATGCGGAAAGGGTAGGGATGAAGGAATAATAGTAGTGGAATTAGTCTTCCTTACATGCTTACTGATTCAATATTATAGTAATTGTCAAAAGAGTTGCTTGTGCATTTCTGAGATGGGGGAGGGTCTTTTCAGGGCAGTAGTATTTTGCACAACATTACAGAAAGCTGGCTGCTAACTATACACTAATAACAAAGATCAGGAAGAGAAAAATCATGCATAAGGATATGGAAGCTGTGCTCTCAAAAACAGGAAAGGAAGCACACGCACTGACACTTTGGCAAGGGGAGAAAGAGAGACCCACACACCAGTGAAGGCCATAGGTCAAGACTTGCATGAGTGTGAATTAAAGCAACTAAGCTTTTGTAATTAAGGAAATAAAAGAGCAGCAGTGGCATGTTACACTGGAAGGTAAAAATAAACATTTAAAGCAGATCACCTTCAAGACAACAAACACACCATTTTTGTTTAAAAATAGCACTGAAATGCATTTATTAAAAAGACAACAACCAAGCTG